GTTCAACGCCTTCAAGGTCGTACTGCATTAATGCACAGCCGATTGCGAAATCGCTGGCATCACAGACCACATGAAATGGCCTGTCCTGATCGGCTATTGCTAGGACTGGGGATTGTATCAAGCTCTGCTTGATACCCTCAAAGGAGCGTTGACATTCAGCGTTCCATAACCACCTCTCGTTCTTATTCAACAAACGAGAGAGGTGTACAGTCATCTCGGCGTAATTGCGTGAATACTTATGCAAATACGCCGCTAGCCCAAGGAATTTTCGAAGACCTTTGACATCGACCGGCACGGGCCAGTCGGTGATCGCCTTGATCTTTTCGGGATCAGGACGTACACCGTTCTTACCAACGATGCACCCAAGAAGTGGTATTTCGCTTGCTGCAAATATACACTTCTTGAGGTTTGCATACAATTGATGCTTTCGCATGATTGTAAGAACTTGTCGGACGTGGTACTTGTGAACCTCAACGTCCGACTTTCCATCCATAGCTCGACTATGGATGAATACGTCATCGAAATAACTCGGCGCGAATTCTCGTACTGGCCTCAACAGATGTGATACACACCTGTTGAACGTGGCAGGGGCATTACTGAGCCCTTGTGGCATTACTAGCCATTCCCAGAGCATGCCGCTAGGCGTGCTAACTGCGGTATAGGGTATATCCCGTTCCCGCATTAGGATTTGATAGAAGCCATCCATCAAATCCATGGACGAAAAGATGGTACTCTTTGACATACCATCAATGATTACGTCCTTCCTCGGTATCGGCGTCTGAGCCGGTACCGTTGCAGCGTTCAATTTGTTAAACGCGTGCACTATCCGCCACCCTCCTGTTGCTTTTCGCACACAGAAGGTCGGAGAGCTATGTGGGGAAGTTGATTCCCTCACATGGCCCGCTGCTAAACGATCGGCAAAGAACTTGTCGATCGCAAGTACTTGTTCACGAGGCAGTGGCCACTGCTTCATGACACAGTACTTCGAGCCTGGTTTAAGCTCGACTTCGTGTCGAATACCTTTATCCTTCGGTAATTCGCACGGAACAGTTTCAGGGAATACATCCTTGAATTCAACCAAATCTTCATAGAGAGGATTTTCCTTGAGCGATTCCCATGATTGGGACTCATATCGCTCAATTCGTGTCTTTTCATCTAGGACACTCTCGTCCATAGATGAACTACTGAGAACTCTCTCGTTCTCAGTAAACACTGTTGCTGACCTTATGTCGGTTACATACTCGTCGTCAGCGACGAGTATGCAGATCTGCTTGACTTTGCCACTACGCAGATCACGCAAGAATCTTTTATGTTCGAGCGTTGGCAACTGAGTGATCTCCGAAGTTAACTTCGGAGGCGCAATCAGATCAAGTGTATAAGCGCCTACACATGATCCGTTATTGACTATGACATTCAATGTCTCTGTCATTTCCTGGGGACTTATTCCCTCAGGCTTCGAAGGACTTATTCCTTCGTCTTCCCGGGGACTTATTCCCGCGGGTTTCGGGGAACTTATTTCCGCCGTATTTGTAATCTTGGGACTTATTCCCTTTACTTCCTCTAGCTGGGGTTGCGCAACCACAGCGAGATCCTCTACGAAAGACTCTCCAGTCGATCTAGGATTATCGTTTCGCTTAACCTGAGCGATCGATTGTTTCTCTTCTAGATGTTCCCCTCTAGGGATACATCTTTGTCCCAGTCCACCCGACTTATTCGAGTGGTGGACCTTCGGCGCAGCCTGTGTTTCCTCACAGCCGCCGGAACTTTGCTCCGAAGTGTAACCGTTTGGTACACTAAGGTTTTGTGCAGTCGTACTAACGACCGTACCACAAGTGAGGCCATCGCACTCACTCGTAGTACATCCACACGCTTGTGGACGCTCCAAAACGTTCATCAGATGGCCATCTGATGAACAAGCGGCAGGCATCGTTACTGTCCGATGTTGCCAGTTTACCCGTGGTTCGTACCTTCTGAGCCACGGTATTCCAAGGATGACATCAAATTTGTCATCCAAATCCAATACGATAAAGTCATCGTCGTATTGGGCATCTTCTAGCGTATAGTGAATCTTCACTATACGCTTCATGACGGTTACGGATGCGCCTGTCGCAAGACGTACCGTCATCCTCGTAGGAGGTGTGTCACATTCACTGAATTTAAAGTGACCATCTTCTAGCGATTGGCGTCGCACAAAATTGTTGGACGCCCCACAATCGACTAGAGCTCGAAGGGACAACTTGTTCGTCACTTCGAGTTTCAAGGTAATGAGTGAGATCTCATTACCTAGAGCAGCAACGCACAACGTCTGTGTGTTGGGAGCAACCTTCATCAAGAGGCCTACAAATTCTCTTGACGTTGCTGGATCAGTAGGGTGCTCCGCACCTACTGATCCTGTCCGTTTTTTGACGGTCCATCCCGTTGTTGCGTCTTTGCACCAACTGCGGACCCTCGTCCCTGCCCCTTTCTCATGGGTGGACGGTCACTACGCCCAGTGTCGCGAGAGACTGGACGAGGGGCACTACACTCGTAAGCGTAGTGTCCTGTCTTCTGACATCTGTTGCATCTCTGCAACTTCTTGTAGCCTGTAGAGCGAACCTTCTCGCTCTCTACATAACAGAGTTCCATCGGCTCTGGACCTCCGTTGTCATATCGTCTAGGTTGACGATATGATGTCGAGCTGGCGCGAGCCTGTCTCAGACTGAAGTCTTCCTGCTCCGCAATGGAAATGGCTTGTTCTAGTGAATCTAGTTCAAGCCGGAACAGGTGAGTCTTGACGGGACCATCCGCAAGACCCTGCATGAACACCGAAACCAACGTGTGTTCATCCACCGGATTGGAACTTATACAACTCGTGAGATGTCGTATATGTTGAGCGTAAGCGTGCACATCACGCTTACCCTGCTTGAGCTTCAAGAGTTCGGTTCGAGCTCTGAACTCAGCTCTAGGCGGTTCAAACGTTTGTCTGAGCCGCGACTTGAAGACTTCCAACGACCCAAACGCGTATGGGTCGTGCAGCTTGAGCCCCAGTGCCCAAGTCTTGGCACGTCCTGCCAGATTTGACTGGGCAAATGCAACTTGCATATCCCCGTCGTCGATGCGACGCGCCCTTATGGCGTCATCCAATTCGACGAACCATCTCAAGAGGGAGTCTTCTTCGACCCCCCTATACTTTGAGATGTCAATCTTCAAAGTCTCGGGCCGACGCGAGTGCATCGACCCGCCAGCAGCAGCCTGCTGCTGTCTCAACAGTTCAAACTGTTGAGCACCTTGTTCTCTCAACAACTCTGCTTGTTGAGAACCTTGTTGGTGAAGCAAGGCTATTTTCTCGCGTTCTGCGTCAAGTTCATTTTGAATGAACTTGGCGATAGTAGCATGTTGGGCATCTCTATTGAGAGCCTCTAGCATGACGCTAACAGCATGGATGCCCATGGTCGAACCCATTCGTTCAACCGCATCCCATTCGACATCGCTCAAATGGGAGTAGCCGTCACGCGTAGCGTGAAAGCTTTGGTCATCTTCATCATCCAACATATTCATGTTGGATGTGAACGCGGTCCTTGGACGGACTACGAAGTGCTACCAGGTGTAACGGGGCACCCTGAAGCTTGTACTGGTGACAGTACAAGCTACTTATTCTGATAACAGAATAAGGCGGTGCCTCGTAACTTCACGTACACTCGTACGTGCAGAGGAAGACGGTAAGAAGAAGCGAGTACTTGGTTAGAGTAAAAAGTAGAACTGTATTTATAATAGTTAATGTCTGCAATAAATCACTATTTATCTTCATCTAACTATGTCTAAATACAAATGTGTAAATCAGTTATCTGCTCACCACTCATTGCGTGCGTCTGTCGTGGCGCGTCTTCGTTGGTTGATATAATGGCCTATATCAACCAATTAGGAACTACTTGGAAGTGCTACCGAATATTGTCCTTATGACAATATTCTGAGAATATAACTCTTATAGTTATATTCTATTAACAATTTCTTATAAATTGTTATGTAACGATTCACCCCGTTACAATATAAAGTTCTACTTTGTACTTTTACTGAGTACTCAAACTCCGTATAGCGATCTCCCTTTGAACGTACGTAAATCGTGAGGTAGTCGGACGCACACACCCTTGCACAGTCAGCAGCTCAAGGTTAATATAGTTGGGTGAATAAGGTGTGCCTCGTTACAATTATCACCTAGGCATTTTCAGACGATTTCTCATTAGCGGTAAACTTTTATGGGCATTCTCCTGATAAGTAAAGCGTAACGATACGTTCAGGTGTTACGTTGCATGTGTATGCATGCCCTAACAAGTGCGATGTGTCCCTCAAGAATATTAACACATCAACAAAGCCACATCATATAGCTTATTGCGAGCCCGAAGAGTGAAGCTATGAGTGACCACGCTCAAGGTGAATGTCGAACCTTTTCAATCGTACTTATCTGTCTGTCAATCTTTTTGTCGGTCTGTCGGTGTGTGTGAAAATATACGCGGGTGTACCTTACACATCGTACCAAGTACGTTTTAGTCTGTGTATGCGAACAAAGCCATTTATGCCTAGCACGCCGCACTAAGTGCGATGTAGTCTGTCATTTTTTTTATCCGTAATTTACGCTAGGTGTACCTTATGCGTCGTACTAAATGCGATGTTCCCTGTCGCCGCCTTTGACGTAGCTGCAAATAAACGCCAGGTGTACTTGACAGTCGTACTAAGTGCGATGTAGCCTTCATCTCCCCTCTCTATTAGCATTATCGCAAGCCCGAAGAGTGAAGCTATGAGCGACTCAGCTACCTTGCGCACAGTCAGTCCCTCATAGCTTCACCCTTGAGCCTCATAAGTATGCGAACAAGAGGAGTATAATAGAATCCGAGTTAAGGCAGAGGCTTATGACGTGATCAGAATATCGAGCTTCGCAACGATACCTTCAACGAAGCACCATCTGCCAATACTTTGTCCGGTAACGACGCTTCTGATCGACAGAAGCTGACACGAGCCGATCATATCTACGCCTTGCAGTCGACCGCTGTCTCGTGCAGCGCGGCCTGCGACACCCTCAGCTTCTTGGCAGCTTCGCCCTCTTTAAACTTGGCATAGCCGTAGAGAATCCCACCCACCATGCCGAACATGACGTAAATAGCCGTGTCAGTGCTCAGCGGCTCACCGAGCAGCAGCACACCAATGAACGTTGTCGGGATTTTGTTGAGACCACCCACAGTCGCGTACGTCGTAGCAGACGTGACCGAGACACACCAGAACGACGCAAGGTTGAGTCCGACTCCGAGCACGCCACTGATAAAGAGCAGCATCGAGAAGTTCCAGTTGCCCAGCAAGGGGTTGCTCCAGACCGTAAAGGCCTCACCATTGAGCACAAGTGGCGGTAAAAGCATTGGCAGCGAGATGAGGTTGTTGTAAAAAGCCATGCCGAATTTAGAGATCTTGAGGGACGAGCGTGACGTTGCGTAGCGCATGTACAGCACATACCCAGCCGTAGCCAGGCAGTTGAGAAACATCCAAAAGTACCCGGAAAGCGTGGACGGCGTAGCCATACCGCCCATATCGCTGTACGAAGACATGACAGCGCCAAGGAGCATGATGCACAGACTCACGATCACGAGACGTCCGACGCGCTCGTTGAAGAGGCGCCACTCGCCAACCACAATGATGATGTTGGTGACGTTTTTAAAGACTGTCACAATGTGGATAGGGAGGCCAGCGGTAGCCTGCATGCCAGTGTACAACATGGCTACAAAGAAGAACGTGACGGGCGCCCACTTGCGGGCCACGTTGCGGTCGTACGCGTCGTAGGACACGATCTTCTGCATCTTGGCGAGCTCCAGCACCAGCACAGCTACAGCGGCTTGCACAGCCACGACAAAGAACTTCTCGTCGAAGCCGTAGTACTTCTTCCCCAGCAAGTACCGGTTCGTGAGCACCATGACGTTGGACATGACACTGTAGACCGTGCACGATAGGATCGAGAGCAGGAGCGAGCCTGCGACGGCGCGGTCTTTAGCTGGCGGCATGGCGAGTGGCGGGATCAGAGGGACGAGAGGCGGGATAGGAGGGACTCGAGGCGGGGGATGGGCCGATGGAGCTGTCGATTCGAAGCTGGTCAGGCCTCGGTTGATGGCCACGCGTCTGATTGGTGGTTGACAAGAGCTTTTGGCGGGTAACAACGACGGATCTTTTTTGTTCATGCTGAGTGAGTGATTACTTTTGTCAGGTGAGGTAGATTTGTGACAGCAGTGGGAAGTAGAAGCTTTGAAGCTGGACTAGAATTGTGACTGCTCACAACCTCGATCTATGTCTTTAATTTGGCGTTCACTTTACAGCTGCCGTCTATGTTACGTTTCACGCTTTCGGCGCAGTGAGATCACTGCTATAATGTATGACAAATGCCTCGGCGTGTCAAAAGACCTCTGTTTGTGTGTGCTAAGATTGGATGGAACAGCTCCTATGCTCGTCAAAAGCATGATGATCAACCCTAGTTTAGTTCCGAATTCACCTTACATCAATAGTGCTTGTCATCCTTCGACGAGCTAAACAACCTTAAGTGGATGCACAAAATGGCACTCCTGCTACTCACCATACTTCGCTGACTCTACAACGCATCTTACAGTGTACGCTTAGGCGAATTAAACCAGCAGATGAGGTGAAGTCGGTCTCGCAATGAAGCAAGACGTACCTTTACGTATTCGTGGATCGACAAGCTGACGCTGGAAATATGGAGTGGAGAAGGCAGCAATTTTTACTTCTTACAACGAGCTACGCCGACTCCAATCCTGCGATCCTTTCTAATGTTCACTACTAAATTTGTACTAATGGTGCCGTCCAAAAGTTACCAACACTTTGATGTTGCCGCTTTTGTTTGCTCGACGATCCCTCCCCACGTAAGCAAACTTCGTCGATGTACTTCATAAAAAGCACCTACAAGCAAATGGCAAGGACGGCGCACGCCATCCAGGTGCTACAATCAGTTTGCGACAAAAGTATAGCATTATCGTGTTTTAGTTGAATTCATCAGACGCAAAGCAACGCAAATCGGTCTTTATGGCTTCACTGGAATGATCAAACTCGAAAATACACGGACCGAAAACTACTATCACGTGAAGCAAATTGTATGCCGCTATACACGGTTGAGAAGGCGTACGCCCATAACCTCCCGTAAGAACTCGCTCGCGATCTTCGTGCAGGACAAAGTATCACGCTGGCATGATTTAGACCCGCCAAACACGTGTATGATCAAACCTTCCTCAGAAGCGGGCTATACGCGCTTCATGACATCACGATTGCAGTACACGATCGTTGAATTGAGCAAGGGAAGGTCCTGATAGCTAAACATAACAAGAAGCGAATGACCTTTGTATAAAATCCTATCAGAACGTAACATGCTGGCTACAATCTCAGCAAGGCTTGCATGGCAGCGGCAATCGCTACACTCTTTGGTACGATGTTATAGAGCTGTATCAAATAAAATGCAACTATTAGACGCAGCACGTACACGCTGCATTAGCCACTTGTAAATCAGAAGGGTATGCCCGGTCCATACGCTTCCAAGGACACAATCACACGCCAGCCAAGACCAAAAGCAAGGCACTTTCTATCGAATATGGCGAGTGCGTTTGCCTGCGCTGCCGATTACACGGCTATATTCGAAACCGCCGTTCGTAGGCTTAAAGCCCTGAGACAAAGGACGTCTCGTAGTGCACTCACTGTCCTGCGCCCTCTCCATGCAAAAATGGCGTAAAGTTACCACTGAGAAAGTTACAAGACGATGAGGGCTCTTGGCGATCGATATTTCAACTAGTTTTGCTTTTCCAAGTCAAGCTGTGACCTACTTAGTACAAGACTGAAACGCAAATAGCGGCAGCAAAGGATGCTGCGATGCTAAAAGGTAACCGTCGGAGTGGGACGTGGGTGACACGAAGGTTTATGAACCCGTGTTCTATTTTCGCGTCGCAGTGAACGCGTGAAAAAAAGGGTCACGTGATTTGAGAGCTTATAAATGCGACCGGACATAGTGACGTACCCAAATCGCAGCCTCTCGCTACCCCTTTCTCTGTCAGACACTGTATCCCTTTATCAAATCAGAAGCCAGGACGACCCGAGCCCACGACTGGGGAGAGGGATCAAAATAAACATGCCTGTCGTCCCCTCGTTAGACGACGACCACGTCAGTATCGTCAGTATAGTCAGTCCAGTCAGACACTGACTGACGCCCTCGATCGATCGATCAATCAACTGATCGATAGATAAGAAGAAGGAGCGCGCCACTTGTCCTTGTTCGACGCCAGCAAAGCCAGCCACTAACCGAGCCACTTCCTCCTCCCGAGCACCAGCTACTACGTGATCCGCTTCCCTCCGTCCTCACTCTATTGTGAACGCGGTCAACTCGCTTGCTCGACGGTCTCTGTCCAATGAATGATGGTACTACCCTTTATCTTAACTCTTCTCTCTTCTCTCTCTGTCTCTATCCGTCTCGATCCTTCACTGTTAACGCTATGCCATTGACTGTTTCTACAGAGGAGCGGAAGGCTCTGGCCGAAGCGCGTGGCCGTGTCGCAAACCTGCGCGCCATGTTCAATAAAGGCAGCGTCCAGAACGCGGAGCCTCCTGCCTGGAAGCGCCGCGTGGCAGTTCCGCCGCCTGTGAAGCTGCCTACTGCAATGGACAAGTCGGTAGACGAGACAATTAACGGGCAGCCGGAAGACAAGAAGGTTGAGCCGAGCTACTCGCGCGTCAAGAGCTCCGAGTCGCTCGTGGATGCTGCTGTGCAGGAGCGTAAAGTACGAGACGATCACGAGCGTTGCCCGGCTCAGGAAGTCAAAGACGCGACGACCAAGCAGTCGTCGTATCACCTTGAGAGCGATCGTGCTTATAATTTCTCATTGAGGCAGCAACGGAGTGTGCGGATGGCCGAGCGACTGGCCAAGAAGTCGCTCGCGCAGTTCTCGAGCAATGGACCGACGTTTGAAGACGAGAAACGAGAGGAGAAGCGGCGTCGAGAAGAGGCGGAGCGCACGAAGGAGCAAGAGGCGCAGAACGCACTGCGAACGTTTGCAGGAGGGAAAACATTCTTTGAAGAGCAGTTGGACGAGAAGAAGCGTGCCCAGGAGCTGGAGCGACAGCAGGAGCAGTGCGCCAAAGAGGCCAAGAGCAACTTTTCGTCGCCCGACTTTGATCACGCCTATAGACGCGCTAAAGAGGTGGCGCAGGTGGAAAAGGAGGCGGAAGGGAAGGCCAAGGCTGCGCTTTTGAAGTACGACCAGCACGATGTCACGCATGAATATGGCATGAAGAATGGCATGATGGTGCATAAGCAAAGCAGCACTGATGACACTCCTAAAGGTATGTGTATCATTTATCGTGTGATAGTAGCAGATTCTCTTTTGTGGTGTCGGGTCTACATGTATCGATTTGCTAAGTGTTTTTCTATGTTTTATAGCCAAGCGGTACCCGTTTACAGATCCTGCTGCACGTATCAAGAAACCTTCTCCTCAGTCGGTGAAAGCTCTCGCACGATTTCAAGCGCAACTCGGTGCGTTTTGGTTAGCCGGTTTGACTTGTCCGACAGCAGCACTGATAAGCGTGACCATGTCAATGCAGCTGAAAACCGTGCAAGAGAGGGCCAGAAAGCTTCTGAAGAAGTTCTTCGTAAGGCTTCGTGGGAGTCTATGCGCAAAATGTCAATGGAATCAATTGAGTCGGTGGAGTCAGTGTCCAAACATACTGCCACTGGTGCGTACGAGCTGCAACATCTATCATGTGTGCTTTTTCTAACTCTATGTGTCTTACTCGCGTGTAGAAATTGATGTTGAGCAGCTGAGGGCTTCTGTTGATGAAGGGAAACTTGACGTTCGATCCGCCGCTCAGAAATTCGCTGAGATGGACCGAAGAGCTGGTGCGAAATGTTTGAATGTTTTTTGCATTAAACTGAATGCTGATGCCTATACGTTCGTCATAGCTGAACAAGCGAAGCAGAGCAAGAAGCCTACGACGATTAACGGTGTCTCTTACGGGCGAGCATGTCCGAAAGAAGGTGAACGACAAAAGGTTAAGGACCGAAATGAAGGGGCTAAACGGATTCAGTCTCGTGTGCGTGGGATGATCGCTCGAGAAGCACTCAGGAAGAAGGTCACAGCTTCCAGTCGAATTGCAACCAGTATTCAAGCTGAATTCAGACGGCGTCGAGCACGAAAACAGTTCGAGAATCTGCTTCAGCAAAAAGAACGCGAGCATTCCTGCGCCATTGCCATACAAAAGGTTACGCGAGGTCGATTTCAAAGAAATCGCTATCGGATCGAAGCTACGGTTTACAAAGCTGCAATCGTTTTGCTGCAGTCTCATGTCCGTGCTTGGCAGGCTCAGACTGCATACACCAAGCAGATTAAAGCAGCATATCAAATCCAAGCATTCATGGCTCGAACACTATCTGGTTGGCATGCAAGGAACGAGGTTGCCGGTCTTCGCAAACAGCACGCCGCAGCTACGACAATCCAGGCTACGCTTCGAATGCGAGCAGAAGCCTTGCAGGCTCGATCTCGGCGAGCTGCTATTATTCAACTCCAGTGTACGTGGCGTCAGACTATAGCACGAAGAACACTCGACCGCTTGAAACGCAAAGCAACGGAAAGAAAAGCTGCCCAACTGGACCTTAAGAATTCAACAGCGACAAAGATCCAACGTCTGTGGCGCGGAATGGCCGCTCGGTCGGAGGTGTCTACGTTGCGTGCCGAAGCTGCTGCTGCAGAGGCTGCCGCCGCGGAAGCTGCTCGCCAGGAGGAGGTGGCCCGTCAGGAAGAGGATGCCCGACGGGAGGAAGCTGCTCGTCAGGAGGAGGTTGCCCGTGAATTGGAAGTCAACAGCAGTATGGCAACGAAGATCCAGAGCCACTGGCGCGGAGCGGCCGCTCGGTTGGAGGTGTCTGCGTTGCGTGCCGAAGCTGCTCGTCAGGAGGAGGTTGCCCGTCAGGAAGAGGATGCCCGACGGGAGGAAGCTGCTCGTCAGGAGGAGGTGGCCCGTGAATTGGAAGTCAGGAGCAGTATGGCAACGAAGATCCAGAGCCACTGGCGCGGAGCGGCCACTCGGTCGGAGGTGTCTACGTTGCGTGCCGAAGCTGCTGCTGCAGAGGCTGCCGCCGCGGAAGCTGCTCGTCAGGAGGAGGTGGCCCGTCAGGAAGAGGATGCCCGACGGGAGGAAGCTGCTCGTCAGGAGGAGGTGGCCCGTCAGGAAGAGGATGCCCGACGGGAGGAAGCTGCTCGTCAGGAGGAGGTGGCCCGTCAGGAAGAGGATGCCCGACGGGAGGAAGCTGCTCGTCAGGAGGAGGTGGCCCGTCAGGAAGAGGATGCCCGACGGGAGGAAGCTGCTCGTCAGGAGGAGGTTGCCCGTCAGGAAGAGGATGCCCGACGGGAGGAAGCTGCTCGTCAGGAGGAGGTGGCCCGTCAGGAAGAGGATGCCCGACGGGAGGAAGCTGCTCGTCAGGAGGAGGTGGCCCGTCAGGAAGAGGATGCCCGACGGGAGGAAGCTGCTCGTCAGGAGGAGGTGGCCCGTGAATTGGAAGTCAGGAGCAGTATGGCAACGAAGATCCAGAGCCACTGGCGCGGAGCGGCCACTCGGTCGGAGGTGTCTACGTTGCGTGCCGAAGCTGCTCGTCAGGAGGAGGTGGCCCATCAGGAAGAGGCTGCCGCCGCGGAAGCTGCTCGTCAGGAGGAGGTGGCCCGTCAGGAAGAGGATGCCCGACGGGAGGAAGCTGCTCGTCAGGAGGAGGTGGCCCGTCAGGAAGAGGATGCCCGACGGGAGGAAGCTGCTCGTCAGGAGGAGGTGGCCCGTCAGGAAGAGGATGCCCGACGGGAGGAAGCTGCTCGTCAGGAGGAGGTTGCCCGTCAGGAAGAGGATGCCCGACGGGAGGAAGCTGCTCGTCAGGAGGAGGTGGCCCGTGAATTGGAAGTCAGGAGCAGTATGGCAACGAAAATCCAGAGCCACTGGCGCGGAGCGGCCACTCGGTCGGAGGTGTCTACGTTGCGTGCCGAAGCTGCTCGTCAGGAGGAGGTGGCCCATCAGGAAGAGGCTGCCGCCGCGGAAGCTGCTCGTCAGGAGGAGGTGGCTCGTCAGGAAGAGGATGCCCGACGGGAGGAAGCTGCTCGTCAGGAGGAGGTGGCCCGTCAGGAAGAGGATGCCCGACGGGAGGAAGCTGCTCGTCAGGAGGAGGTGGCCCGTCAGGAAGAGGATGCCCGACGGGAGGAAGCTGCTCGTCAGGAGGAGGTGGCCCGTCAGGAAGAGGATGCCCGACGGGAGGAAGCTGCTCGTCAGGAGGAGGTTGCCCGTCAGGAAGAGGATGCCCGACGGGAGGAAGCTGCTCGTCAGGAGGAGGTGGCCCGTGAATTGGAAGTCAGGAGCAGTATGGCAACGAAGATCCAGAGCCACTGGCGCGGAGCGGCCACTCGGTCGGAGGTGTCTACGTTGCGTGCCGAAGCTGCTCGTCAGGAGGAGGTGGCCCATCAGGAAGAGGCTGCCGCCGCGGAAGCTGCTCGTCAGGAGGAGGTGGCCCGTCAGGAAGAGGATGCCCGACGGGAGGAAGCTGCTCGTCAGGAGGAGGTGGCCCGTCAGGAAGAGGATGCCCGACGGGAGGAAGCTGCTCGTCAGGAGGAGGTGGCCCGTCAGGAAGAGGATGCCCGACGGGAGGAAGCTGCTCGTCAGGAGGAGGTGGCCCGTGAATTGGAAGTCAGGAGCAGTATGGCAACGAAAATCCAGAGCCACTGGCGCGGAGCGGCCACTCGGTCGGAGGTGTCTACGTTGCGTGCCGAAGCTGCTCGTCAGGAGGAGGTGGCCCATCAGGAAGAGGCTGCCGCCGCGGAAGCTGCTCGTCAGGAGGAGGTGGCCCGTCAGGAAGAGGATGCCCGACGGGAGGAAGCTGCTCGTCAGGAGGAGGTGGCCCGTCAGGAAGAGGATGCCCGACGGGAGGAAGCTGCTCGTCAGGGAGGAGGTGGCCCGTCAGGAAGAGGATGCCCGACGGGAGGAAGCTGCTCGTCAGGAGGAGGTGGCCCGTCAGGAAGAGGATGCCCGACGGGAGGAAGCTGCTCGTCAGGAGGAGGTGGCCCGTGAATTGGAAGTCAGGAGCAGTATGGCAACGAAGATCCAGAGCCACTGGCGCGGAGCGGCCACTCGGTCGGAGGTGTCTACGTTGCGTGCCGAAGCTGCTCGTCAGGAGGAGGTGGCCCATCAGGAAGAGGCTGCCGCCGCGGAAGCTGCTCGTCAGGAGGAGGTGGCCCGTCAGGAAGAGGATGCCCGACGGGAGGAAGCTGCTCGTCAGGAGGAGGTGGCCCGTCAGGAAGAGGATGCCCGACGGGAGGAAGCTGCTCGTCAGGAGGAGGTGGCCCGTCAGGAAGAGGATGCCCGACGGGAGGAAGCTGCTCGTCAGGAGGAGGTGGCCCGTCAGGAAGAGGATGCCCGACGGGAGGAAGCTGCTCGTCAGGAGGAGGTGGCCCGTCAGGAAGAGGATGCCCGACGGGAGGAAGCTGCTCGTCAGGAGGAGGTGGCCCGTCAGGAAGAGGATGCCCGACGGGAGGAAGCTGCTCGTCAGGAGGAGGTGGCCCGTGAATTGGAAGTCAGGAGCAGTATGGCAACGAAGATCCAGAGCCACTGGCGCGGAGCGGCCACTCGGTCGGAGGTGTCTACGTTGCGTGCCGAAGCTGCTCGTCAGGAGGAGGTGGCCCATCAGGAAGAGGCTGCCGCCGCGGAAGCTGCTCGTCAGGAGGAGGTGGCCCGTCAGGAAGAGGATGCCCGACGGGAGGAAGCTGCTCGTCAGGAGGAGGTGGCCCGTCAGGAAGAGGATGCCCGACGGGAGGAAGCTGCTCGTCAGGAGGAGGTGGCCCGTCAGGAAGAGGATGCCCGACGGGAGGAAGCTGCTCGTCAGGAGGAGGTGGCCCGTGAATTGGAAGTCAGGAGCAGTATGGCAACGAAAATCCAGAGCCACTGGCGCGGAGCGGCCACTCGGTCGGAGGTGTCTACGTTGCGTGCCGAAGCTGCTCGTCAGGGGAGGTGGCCCATCAGGAAGAGGCTGCCGCCGCGGAAGCTGCTCGTCAGGAGGAGGTGGCCCGTCAGGAAGAGGATGCCCGACGGGAGGAAGCTGCTCGTCAGGAGGAGGTGGCCCGTCAGGAAGAGGATGCCCGACGGGAGGAAGCTGCTCGTCAGGAGGAGGTGGCCCGTCAGGAAGAGGATGCCCGACGGGAGGAAGCTGCTCGTCAGGAGGAGGTGGCCCGTCAGGAAGAGGATGCCCGACGGGAGGAAGCTGCTCGTCAGGAGGAGGTGGCCCGTGAATTGGAAGTCAGGAGCAGTATGGCAACGAAGATCCAGAGCCACTGGCGCGGAGCGGCCACTCGGTCGGAGGTGTCTACGTTGCGTGCCGAAGCTGCTCGTCAGGAGGAGGTGGCCCATCAGGAAGAGGCTGCCGCCGCGGAAGCTGCTCGTCAGGAGGAGGTGGCCCGTCAGGAAGAGGATGCCCGACGGGAGGAAGCTGCTCGTCAGGAGGAGGTGGCCCGTCAGGAAGAGGATGCCCGACGGGAGGAAGCTGCTCGTCAGGAGGAGGTGGCCCGTCAGGAAGAGGATGCCCGACGGGAGGAAGCTGCTCGTCAGGAGGAGGTGGCCCGTCAGGAAGAGGATGCCCGACGGGAGGAAGCTGCTCGTCAGGAGGAGGTGGCCCGTGAATTGGAAGTCAGGAGCAGTATGGCAACGAAGATCCAGAGCCACTGGCGCGGAGCGGCCACTCGGTCGGAGGTGTCTACGTTGCGTGCCGAAGCTGCTGCTGCTGAGGCTGCCGCCGCGGAAGCTGCTCGTCAGGAGGAGGTGGCCCATCAGGAAGAGGCTGCCGCCGCGGAAGCTGCTCGTCAGGATGAGGTGGCCCGTGAATTGGAAGTCAGGAGCAGTATGGCAACGAAGATCCAGAGCCACTGGCGCGGAGCGGCCACTCGGTCGGAGGTGTCTACGTTGCGTGCCGAAGCTGCTGCTGCTGAGGCTGCCGCTGCGGAAGCTGCTCGTCAGGAGGAGGTGGCCCATCAGGAAGAGGCTGCCGCCGCGGAAGCTGCTCGTCAGGATGAGGTGGCCCGTGAATTGGAAGTCAGGAGCAGTATGGCAACGAAGATCCAGAGCCACTGGCGCGGAGCGGCCACTCGGTCGGAGGTGTCTACGTTGCGTGCCGAAGCTGCTCGTCAGGAGGAGGTGGCCCATCAGGAAGAGGCTGCCGCCGCGGAAGCTGCTCGTCAGGAGGAGGTGGCCCGTCAGGAAGAGGATGCCCGACGGGAGGAAGCTGCTCGTCAGGAGGAGGTGGCCCGTCAGGAAGAGGATGCCCGACGGGAGGAAGCTGCTCGTCAGGAGGAGGTGGCCCGTGAATTGGAAGTCAGGAGCAGTATGGCAACGAAGATCCAGAGCCACTGGCGCGGAGCGGCCACTCGGTCGGAGGTGTCTACGTTGCGTGCCGAAGCTGCTGCTGCTGAGGCTGCCGCCGCGGAAGCTGCTCGTCAGGAGGAGGTGGCCCATCAGGAAGAGGCTGCCGCCGCGGAAGCTGCTCGTCAGGATGAGGTGGCCCGTGAATTGGAAGTCAGGAGCAGTATGGCAACGAAGATCCAGAGCCACTGGCGCGGAGCGGCCACTCGGTCGGAGGTGTCTACGTTGCGCGCCGAAGCTGCTGCTGCAGAGGCTGCCGCCGCGGAAGCTGCTCGTCAGGAGGAGGTGGCCCATCAGGAAGAGGCTGCCGCCGCGGAAGCTGCTCGTCAGGAGGAGGTGGCCCGTCAGGAAGAGGATGCCCGACGGGAGGAAGCTGCTCGTCAGGAGGAGGTGGCCCGTCAGGAAGAGGATGCCCGACGGGAGGAAGCTGCTCGTCAGGAGGAGGTGGCCCGTCAGGAAGAGGATGCCCGAAGGGAGGAAGCTGCTCGTCAGGAGGAGGTTGCCCGTCAGGAAGAGGATGCCCGACGGGAGGAAGCTGCTCGTCAGGAGGAGGTGGCCCGTGAATTGGAAGTCAGGAGCAGTATGGCAACGAAGATCCAGAGCCACTGGCGCGGAGCGGCCACTCGGTCGGAGGTGTCTACGTTGCGTGCCAAAGCTGCTGCTGCTGAGGCTGCCGCCGCGGAAGCTGCTCGTCAGGAGGAGGTGGCCCATCAGGAAGAGGCTGCCGCCGCGGAAGCTGCTCGTCAGGAGGAGGTGGCCCGTCAGGAAGAGGATGCCCGACGGGAGGAAGCTGCTCGTCAGGAGGAGGTGGCCCGTCAGGAAGAGGATGCCCGACGGGAGGAAGCTGCTCGTCAGGAGGAGGTGGCCCGTGAATTGGAAGTCAGGAGCAGTATGGCAACGAAAATCCAGAGCCACTGGCGCGGAGCGGCCACTCGGTCGGAGGTGTCTACGATACGCGGATATGCAATCGGAGGGTCCGTCGCCTCACTGCTGGGCAGTAAAGAGTTGATGGCGCTCAGAATTCGAAGAAGATGGCGCCGTGCTATAGTAAGAGCTAGGATAATGACAGCACGGCGGAAAGATGCTGACCAGCTCGAAATGGTGTTGGCTTTGCGGCTGCAAAGTCAATGGCGGTCGGTTGCTGCATCGTGCATGGAACGAAAGTTGCGGCCAGCGATGACAAACAATCAAGTCAAATCTGAGATTGCGACGGCTTCGAAAGCTCTGCGACATACAGCAACTGCTGTGCACGACCGTGTTGGAGGAAATTCGTATGCTGTATCGTTGGATTCAAATGTACCCAAGGATGCATTGATCATTCAAGCTGTGCGGTGTGGTAGTATTGGACGGAAAGAAGCTGCAGTGCAGCGATCGGAGAAAACGAATTGTCAAGAAGGCGTCGATCGAGTGGATGCTCAAATCGGTCGAAACCCAACGTTAGCAGAGCTTCAGCTTTTAAGTCAAACCGGACGCTTTTCCAACCTTTCCGACGATAGCGATGACGACTCGAGTTTCGAAGATGCGCCAAGCTTTGTTGGTGAAGCCCCATTTGCCCAAGCCTCGACGCAATCCTTGGAGCTGGATTTGTCGGACCAGAACGTTGGTTCGTCGCAGAGAGAGAATGAACATATTGTGTCACCCAATGCCGAGCGTAATTTCGATTCTCGAGAATCTACGAGTTCGGAGGACGTGGCACTTGGGTGTCCGGTTCCAGAGCACCACTTGGCTTATAATGACGACAAAAGTGATGCTAGTAGCGATATATTCGTCGACGCAATCGAGGAACAGAAGTTGGTTGAGCATGCCATTCAAAGCTGGAGTTTTGACAAGGATGATCACTTGGCGGACGAGAGTAGCGATCGAACTGTTGGCACTGCTTTGTCTGTGGATGCGTTTACCGTTGGAGATGGTGCTACTCTATCGTCGCCGGTAAACCTGGAGGTTTTCCAGGAAGTCGACAACGAGTGCCTTAGAAGCAGCATCTGTGAAAGTGATCGTCGGTTGTCTTTTCACTCTGAATATTCGTATCAAGAGCCTTCATTGGACTCGCAGACCGCTAGAGGCAGCTTGGCGTCAAGCTCGTTAAGCGGCGTATCCCGGTTCAACGAAGAAGCTCGTGATGGTTCATTTCGCTCTCGAATAGACTCGTACGCCGACTCCACCCGCTCTCGAATAGACTCCTACGCCGACTCCACTCGTTCTCGTGGAGACTCGTACGCTGACTCGGTTCGATTTCGAACCGATTCCCACGCCGATATGTTCCGGTCTCGTGGCAACTCATTGGACGATGAGGTTCGCTCCCGTGGAGGTTCTTATGCGGATGTTTTGGCCAAATCCTCTTACGACGAGCCAAGTTTTACTGATGAAGTAAACCGCGACGATGGCCCGAAGATCTTTGATACTGATAGCGACCGCGCAAGCTCTGTTATTAGCGATTCTCCAGGCTCAGATAAAAACATTTGCGAAGTCGAGAAAGATGAGGTACACGACGAGGCACAAGCAACACGCACGAAGAGTAATAGTCGCTGGCGTGCTGCGAGTGTGCTAAGCGCACTATCTACTCGACGGTCGAGCAAGCCGACAAGTTCACCCGCGTCATCATTCGAAGAAGAGGAAAAAGATGTGAAGGTACCACCTGCGACTAACTTGCCGTCGATTACTGGATTGAGCTCTGTTGCAAGTTTGCTCAATCGGAAGCTTTCGGTTCCGATGAGCAAGCTAAGTACCACCAGCGAGATGGAGATGGAGGATTCATCGGGTGTGTATTCGCCTCAGGAACAGCAGCCTTCCAAGAGTAAGTTTCGTTTCGGCCGATTTGCTGCTCCAACTGCGGCCTTCCCGTCGCGTTTTACATGGAAAAGCACGACCCGTCGCGGCACGAATGAGTACGACGACGGAGAAGTGGCGGATTCACAGACCGCCTAATTAGAGAATATTAAGCACGAGTAGCTTTGCAAAATGTTGATGTCTCTAATAACTGCATTACCATCGGTGTATGTTTTGTGAAGTCGTAGTTCTGATGGAGAAGATTTACGTAGGTCCTGGTTTACGGTCATCAGACGCCCTTAGGGTCGAAGCAAATGCAACAGCCGCGCAATCGTAAGGCAGAGTTTGCTTACATCAGCAGTTTTTTCAATGCGCTTTTAATGCAAATAGCAAACAGCGTCGAAACGCGTTGCTAAACGACCATAATTTCTGACGAGAAGGCAATACTGCCCAACAGCGTTCAGATGGTACAAATATGCGTATTCCTTGCTTGGGCGCATTCCAAATGTGGAGCACATGTGGTCGTTACTACCCATGGTAGTTCGCAATACCGCTTACAATTACGCGTGCTAATGGCATATATACTATCGTTACCGATGTTGCGAACATTGGTACCAACAGTATAAATGAGCTACCGATGTTGCAACCTCATGGTGTTTGCATGGTTCAATATCAGGTCGCACAAGTCAGTTCCTCACTGTGCGCTTGTCCGACGTCAATGCGGCACTTCACTATGCAATGATCTACTGCATCCAAATGCTGATCATTCCTCAATAGTAGCAAGACCGACAGTCAAAGTAACGTATCTGTGCAAGTGTGACTCAAGCAATATCTGGCCTGAATACGACAGCAAAGGTGAAGTCAAACATACTCATTCGCTACTGGTATCGGATATCAAGGGTGTACGAGCTGAAATATGACGCGGTGGACCATCTCATACATTGGGCCCAATTCAATCATACCTGCAGCTATCATCAATTATCTCCGGCGTTTACATCCGGGTAAATCTTCACATAGAGTAAGGCAGGGATGGATGGGTGGCCGTCCTATATGGACAAGGATCCAAAGTTTGTACGGCTGTTTGAACAGGACTGCATAGCTAATAGCGACTGAAGGTGTCGTAACAAATGTGTAAGTTGAAGTTGTCGTGATATCTCCAGCTGAATGTCTGTGAAGTAGAATCGGTAAGTGCACTCTTAATATGGCAGGGACCGGCCCCTAACTGCAAAAACACGTGTACGGATCGACGAAGTATCAGCGATCTTGTCAATGTTGACAGCTCTATTTCGGGAGAAAAAAGGACTGTACGACACATTCTTTCAATACAGATCTGTACACCTTACTCCAAGGAGTAGAAACGTCAATTTTCTACACATGGAAACTTGAGTCTCAAAAGAAATGTTTATAACGGACCGTTACAATATCTACCACGATCATGGCGTCCTTCTGCCACGACTCATTCTATACGGCAAGTTGTCCACATCAAAGTAACTGCTTGCCATACTTACGTCTCACCGTGAGCATTTGTTTAGTACAGCGGGAGAAACATGTCCAGCAGACCCGAGTACTTGACAAGGAACAGCGAAATCGGCCAGAAGACGAAGTACCCAATAAGTGTTCCAGCGAGCACGTCGGTTGGGTAGTGGCGGCCAAGTGCTACGCGCGAGAAGTTGATGATCAGCGCCCAGACAATGGAAGCCCCAACCACTGCAGCCGGAGATAGACCGAAGCCAAACTTGTGTAGAATCCAGGGGTGCGTCTTAGATAAGTAGACGAGCATAGCCACCATAGCCCACACCCGCGTCGAGTGTCCCGAAGGAAACGAGTGTTGATCGGGACCGACAAAGCGTACGTCCACTTGGTGAAATGGTGGTCGTTGACGGCGGAAAATCGCCTTGAGTAGCATAATGGCAAGAATGTCCACTACCATGACAGTCGAAAGCACTGATAACAGTACTTTCGTGGCAGTGTCAAATGGTCCGATAAGACCAGAAGCCCATAGGACTCCAGTAACTGGTGGAATTGTGAGGATCCACCTACATTCCATTTAACGAATAAGAGAACATATGGTAAAAATAATAGAGCAGAGTAACGTTCTATAAAACGCATATTAAGAATGCATAAATACAGGATCATTTTAACCACACAATGTGGCGTAACGTACAGAAAGCCATCGCCCGAATGGGAGAAAATCTCCCAGCAGAGACGCGGCGTCCGCTCGCGGCCGAAGCGATGGTACAGCTTGGTCGACCACGTCAAGTCGTAGGCGTGTAAGCGATCGGCGAGACTCATTGCGCGCCGCTCGTGCTCGACGCCAGCGCTGACTACTTGCGAGATGGAGCCATAGCTGGGCATGTCGACGATTGTGATTGGTCAAAATGCTGCATGCCTGCTTTATTTACCTAGCACGCGGGCCACACATTCGATGATAGTTTCGTTATAAAATGATTTTGATTGCTCCCATTTGGGTAAAAAGCTTTCAAGTGACTATTCGTAAGTTATTTATTTCTTTACTGCGCCGATGGCCGGGTCAGCTCCAGCGTTGCATCACCAGTTCAAGTGACTGATGAGTTCCAGATCTATACTTTGAGAGCTGAGGACGTCAGTTCTGCGCGGTTCGTACACTGGATACCCTGGAAAGTATCCGGTGGGTTGCATAGCAACGCATCCAACAAAGCGCGCAGTCCATTCGAATTGCTTCACACACCAAGTTTAACCTTTTCCACTCCATCAGCTCAGTCTAGTCTTTTAATGGGCAAGAGCATGTCATCGCGGTCGGGTAACACCTTGAGATTATAGTATGCTGCGGCCCCGACGAATCCGTGCCAGCAGCCGTGGAAAATGCGAAACGGGTCAGTTTCATCTTCTAGTCCGCGCACAAAGCACCCAATGCCACATAGCAATAGCATCAATCCTCGTCGGAATTGCTGCAAGTTATATCGTGGTATCCGCCTCCGCAGTGCAAAACTCAACAAGAGCACCGCGAAGCTGCTGGCTACGGGAATCACCGAATTCCACTCATTCCATGGATCCTTTTCTTGGAAAACGAGCACCATCGAAAGAAAGAAATACTGCATGTATCGCTCAAGCACCTGGTGACGAATATCCATGAGGTGGATACCCCACATGACAAAACTCATGATGGACCCGATATTGTCAAGACGATGCCACTGTCCTTCACTTAGCCAGAGTGGACCCTCAATCGTGTCACACACGTGATACATGAAGCTAGTGACCATTGTAAATGTGCCGATGAATGCCTGTTGTATTTTGACGCATCCGTGTACGTAATGCACAATCAGGAACGTAGTTGAACAAATTGTAAGTATTGGATGATTGTTGTAACTTAAATTGACGGCAGGGCGTCCCATTTTAGCGGGTTACAATCTCCTTCAAGGAATACCGACGCACCTCGAAGACTAATTGTCGGCTAAAGAGGCTGTAAATGGCGGGGAACATGCACAGGTTCGTAGATGCCGTTACGATCAGCATAACGATCACCTCGAAGGAGCTCCTCATTCCGACGGTTGGCAAACAAACGCCCTTGAAAAGGATTTCCGCACTTATTGATCGTCTTTGGGAGGCTTAATGCTTGGCAAGGTACAGTTGCTAGTATGGACAGTGGCAATGTACAGGGTTTACGGTGAGTTGGTCAATCGATTTCGTGTGGCCGAAAGGCTACAACAACGTAATTTCTTTAATTTCTCGGGACTCCCCCAGCTTGGGGGGCACTTCACTGATCAAAACTGACGGAAGACACCACCTCATAGATTTCCTGCGTGTGGACATGGACGGTCACCAGTACATATAGCGATTCTCCTTTATATCCACGGATCCAACTTCATTCGTTGCACAAAGCAACTGCTGCGAGTGATATCATCTACAAGAGGCGGCAGGGCTTCAATAGGCATCTCTGCTGCTACTACAGCTCATTTTGATCCATCAATAGTACAAAGCGTACTGTCTGCATAGAGGAACACTTTCGACTAAAGTGTCGTCATGCAAGATTAATCAGACTGTTTACACATCTTCACACTTGACTGCTGGTACCTTGGAGCCATCTTCTTATGCTTGGCTAGTTAATTTAATTGTGAAATATAAGTGATCACCTGTTTACACGTCTTTGGACGCATACGTTACATCTGTCGGTAGATGCAGCGACAAGGATAATGATTGACAAACCGTCGACCGGTTACGGGTCAACACAGCTCTTCAATAGTATCGATTCCACTGTCGAGACCGTGCATGATCACCATCAGACTTTTATCAATTCTTTAGCCGCCACGGCCTCAGATAGCATACCATTCCACAGAAGCTTGTGGTATTCCGAATCACTAAAGTTGAGTCACTCTGCCATATACGTTAAAGATGCACATACTAAGACGGTCGTTTGAATACAAGGTTGCAGTGCATCAATTCATGTTTCCACAGGTAGATTGTATTTGATGCGGACAATACTTTTGTAGCGGAGGTATGAAGTGATCAGAGTAGCGTAAAAGTCATTTATCGTGATAATGCCGACTGGATTTCTCGACCGTACACTCCGCAGTCACATGCACTACCATAAACTCATAAGTGAAATCTGTTCAGAAGCGCGACCGATGCGAGGGCGCTTCCTCACCAGTGTTTTTGTATCTGTCATACAGCCGACGACATCTGGATGTGGCGAGCCCGAATACAAATGATCGTTGCGGCTCAGTCAGCATACGATACGGTTTGATCATATTTCATTTGACACGAACAGCGAAACGACCACTGCAATAGAGCGCTACCACGACAACGTCTTGCATAGAAAACTTCTCATCTATGTGGGGCAAGGTGTCAGCTCCAGGAATTTCAATGTCATCAGTAGCACCACCTTCATTGAAAACAACTCAATCTATACATCTGGTAGATTACCTACCGAAACAATAGGACACTTCTTGCTTCATTTCTGCTTCCAGTTTGATCTATTGTGCAAATAGCACGCTGAAAAAGACATGATCGGCACGGCCAGCTGATTTGCTGTGCCATTCCTTCATCTGAAGGGTGAAGACTGTAAGGCTGGCGGCCGTCACGTCATCTTTCGTCCCACGTGGTTACGAACCTGAATAACCTGAATGACATGGAAGCTCAAGATCTATCGTGAACGTCAGGTATGTGCTGGATCTGGTCTTTTGCGCTTGCGCGTTATGATCGCTTGAAGTCAGTGTGCTTATGACCATTGTAAAATTGCGAAGCTGACCCTGCAACAATTGTGATGTCATTTACTGCTTCGCCAATCGTAGTTTGCATGTCTATAGTCTCTACAATTTGTGATAGCTTACGTGATCGGCCGCGTCAAACGCGACCAGCACGAATTATGTTACATAGGCGCCTGCATGATCATGTCGAAAGTTGTCATGTTTCATTATTAGGATGGTCGGGATCGCAATGTGAGATGTCTTGTCAAATGATCTTGAGCATGCATATTAACACATCACCTTTGTGAGCAGAGCTTGACGCTAATTGTTTAGTGCATATCATTGTCCTGTAAATTCCTTGCTTACCACATCTCATGACACAACTTTCCTTTGAGCTGCCAGCAGTTACTGAACGGTTCAGGTGAAACCAGATTCTGCATTAAAAAAAACATGATTGCTCGCAAGCTTTGCTTACACACAGAAGCCTTGGGAACATTTGTCCATGGCATGAGATCATGAAACGAGTTTACACTACAGATAGCAAGCTGGATGCCGGGGGCTGAAGTTACCGATCTCTTTGTCCATAAAGTGAAATTTTTTTATACTTTTGTACAAGAAAGAGCTCGTGAGTCACATCTGCTTCAACGCAAACCATCACGTTCCGTCATTTCACCTCTTTGCAGAGATATTCGATGCACGCTTCGGTTTTGCCAGAAAAAGATGCAAAGAGTAGTTTATCCACATGCTTTGATCAAGGTCGAAGTGCTTATTGCACTTGCCGGTCGCGTACTTTGTCCAGAACGGCTTTGAGAATGACCACAAAAATGCTGGTGACCAGAGGAAGCTATAGGCTTCAGCAAAAAGATCCTCACGATTAGGCCTGCATTGATAGTTCTTTGACTTGTGCATTCATAGGCAGTTTGATTGCAACCCGACGTCTGCATTCTCGAGTAGCTGACCTTCAGTTCACGGACGGCGAGCATAGTCAAATCTTTCGACCCGCAGCGTTCATACAGAAATTGACAGCTAAAGAGCCTGTAGCACACATATCCACCGACTGGTAGCAGGATTCCAATCTCTTCTCATGTGAGGGTCGACAGTGTCAGGGTATGCTGACCATTTGTGTAAGCAAGTTTCGAAACAAATCCAAGATAATTACCAGTATACGTTGCAACAATTTTCGTCCCAGTAGCCTCCTCACCCACGTATTCATTCACCTCACTTCCACCCCACTGTCAACATAGCAGACTAGACACAGACGGCCCCGTTCACATGGACAGCGATACTCCCGAAGATGTGGTCGAGCTCGACGAGAAGCTTGTGCTCCAACGCGACCATCTTGACAGCCGCCTCCCACCATCGCGGGTCCTGCATCCAACGCAGATGCCCACTTTCGCCTTGTCAGCATCCGAAACATGAACTTCTTCTACGTGGTGACAAGCATGGCAAATGACGTCACCACAAGACACGCAGTTGTAGCGTCGAGTGTCCAGCAACTTCACGGCACCAAAGTGTTTGCTACAGCATTGGCAGAATTCTGCAGCTTCTTTATCCGCCCACCTCGACTGATCGATAAACGTCGATGGATCAAGTTGCCTAGAACGGAGGTGCGTGGTGATCCGACCAAGCACTTCGCCAAATCGGGGCATGTAGTAGCGCGCTGACAGTCGTGGCGCAAGCCCACCTGCTTCAATGCCGACAATGTACACGACCTTGGTCTTAGCGTCGATCAGTCCAGAGTTCTGCACAAAGTATCCCGATCGCGACATCCGAGTCCGGACGAAGCCATGTGGTGTATGCAGCTGGGATATCTCCAGTAGATTAAGCGAGTCCCACACGCAATAGCCGACTGTAGATCCATCTGGACACTGGATGACGTCCGTCGAAACGACCACGCACATGTCGCGTTTGCGCTGCATCGTGCGTCCCTTGAATGCCGTGTAGCGGATGTACGACGACCGCATTGGATGCTCTTCCGACGGGCACTCGAGCACGTTTAGAATCCGAGCGTCAATGACATTGTCGTACAGAATGCGACATCGCTGCAAGAGCATGTCGGTATCCGATACCACAAAGAGACTGACGACGTCTTCCACAGCGGCTTCCGTGGAGTCTACGCAGCAAAACCGCGTCTGCGTTTTCGACACACTCTCTCGGTCTTCATAGTACGCAATGCCATCCTTTTGCATCTTGCCCCGCCAATTGCTATCCTCCGTGCCTTCTTGCATCATGCTGTCCAGGACGTCCTCGACGGCATGCGCAATGCGGCGTCGCAGGGTGTTCTTCACTTTCTCCGACAGGTCCAAGCGCTCGGGCAGTTTGCTAAAAAGAGAGGAGGAGGAGGAAGAGGAAGAGGCATTACCAGAATGTTTGCCCGACTTGAACGACCGCGCCATACGATTTGGTGGGACCGGGTCACGGTTCTAATGGTGGTGAACGAATGGAAGTATTACTTGGGTCTCTTTTTAAGGTCTAGTGACCACTGAATTGCCAACCAACTAACTGTCTGTTTGTGTCCTTCTTCTAATTGTCTGAATCGCTACGGAGTATTTTGAACAGTGGGGAGGCAGCGATCAGGCGTGTTGAACATCTCGAGTCTGTCACAAGTCGCTCGCTGTCTGCCGTATACAAAACGCCACTGTCAAATCCGTGGCGAAAACGGCACGTCGTGAGTGTTTTATTTCCCTCACAACTGTCAGCAGAATCCAGTCAAAGCCACAATGGGGCGGTCGAGGATGGCGAGATCCCTCCAATAAGTAATGATTTTGAGGGATGGAGGCTCGATAACCTAGCGGAGGTGTCTAGTCTTTCGGATTGTTTGGGAAGGCGCCTTTGTAGATTGTGCCGATTTTGATTGATCTTAAAGCGGACAGTGGCAAACAAATTGAGTTTTTCTACTTTGCTTCGTGACTAATGGCCGCAACGAGACAATTGCTTATCACCTTGTTGGGATGTACAAGCTGCTATCAACATACGTTATCTGCAAGCTCCTTAGTAATGTTTGCACGCGCCCGAAGGGGTTAGAAATGTCCTCAGTTTGACTGGTTGTAAAAATCGTGTTTTGTACAGTGGTTGACCAGGTTTTATTTTGAAATGGCAATGCTCCGAAGTATACCAAGATGTTCAATCCCTTGGCAATTTCAGCGCTCACCATCTTTTACTAAGAGCAACGGACATAGTCCATCTTGTAACGTGCAGAAACCAAGGAGATCTGCCGCCAATTGTGGTGCCGTACATGGGGAGGGTGATAACATCTACCAACCAACTTCCTCCCATGAGCTAGTAGGTAGATGCCTCGACCGACATTTTAGTCCAATTCATTCTCAATTTTGTCGATTACATGAGGATTTTTGCTGTGGCTGCTGTCTTGGTAACTGCGATGTATGGAGCGGAACAAGGTCAAACCGAAATGAGATGAAGGAGGCGGTGGATTAGCTGGAGCACGAGATGGAAAATCATCTCAAAAAGCTACTTATCTAGTCTCCCACGTCAATTTCAGCAAAACCGAACCTCACCACGATAATTAAAGGCCGGCGCTAACGCAAGATGAAAAATTGGAAGAGGACTATAAATGCAGCGGACCAGTTTTGCACCGATTTTCAAAGATCGCCAGAACGCAGAATACTAACGTCCTAGGTGGTGCCTGCTCTCAACAAAGTAATACCGAGGAAGTCATCGACTTTAATTGATTCCTTACAGCCTTCAACACGATATTTGCAACGGCTTGCATAAGCCATCTATCTACCCATCACATTTGGTTGAAGGAGACGTCCTTCAAGACACAAATTATTTCCAATCACGACAGTTTTGTTGCACATCATTTTCAGGCTAAAACAGAGCCAAAAGATTGAGGAAATGAAATCCTGTTCTGCCCCGGACTTACCACATTTTAATCAGCGGCTGTAGTACGCGGTCGCATTTCTGTCCTGCCACGGACTTACAATATCATACTCAGCGGCTGTTGTACGCGGTAGGAGGACGCCCAATTCGAAATACCTACCAGAGTTATTTACTTAATGGAGGACAACGAATGAGAGGGATCTTTGCAGTAGGCTAAAAGAATATCTGTAGGCATTAAAGGGACGATTTGAAGAAACGAGGAAAGGCATGGCGTGATCGGAAGATCAATCCGCTCTCTACAATTTTGCGTTGAATATCAACTAGAGTTTGGAGGATGTCGTTCGTCCAAGAACGAATGTCGACGAACACGTGCAATGCCGATTAAAGCGAGATGTCTCAGTGGCCGAATCCATACTTCATTAAGACTGACCAGGACTATCACTGTGTACCAAGTGAAGAATGCATAATCTTATGTCCGGATGCGATGGGTTTACGATCTAGCGCATTGGTAACCTCCGCCATCCCTAAAACGATGATGCATCGTTCCAGCCTTGGAGTTTGTGACAATGATCTGGAGTACAGTATAGCGACATCCTAGACATGCAGACGCGTCCATTGAATCTATAATGCTTGCAGGATGTCTGATCTATCCTAAGCCTGGTCGGCCTCGCCAATTTCTCCTATGAGTCCGGTGTTTGTACGGGCTTTGACCATTTGGGTGACGGGTAATTTGCTTTGCATACTAGCAGGCGAGCTCCTTGTACTTTCGTGTCGCCACGCAATTACTCCCCCTTTGATACAGCGCGGATCTTGTCTCAAGCCTGTCTTCTACATCTCCTAGACGCTGCTTTCGCTGCGGGAATGGCATCACCCCACGTTAATGTGTTTATTGATTTCATTGTACCCATAACTCGCGATGCAAACACTGCAACACACACGTGACAACTTATCTCACATATGCGTAGTCTTTCAGCTCGTCAGGATGGTCTCGTAGTACATGTTATTGACCACCCTGTGTTTTGCCTTGATACCCACCTGTGTGCGGTATGTGCAGAAGGCCGGGCATGGGCTCAACTTTTAGCGTTCCCGTACCCAATGACACATGATCTCTACCAGTTGGGCTTGCGCGCACGGCACATACAGATGTGGTCCCTTCCCTCCTAAATTTTACAGCACCACTGAAGCTTCTGACAACTACTATACCTTCTCTCGCCGTAGGGAAGAGATTTTCGTACGTCACTGCTGTACGGCGATGCGACATACCTCCGATGTCTGCTTGAGCTGAAAACAGTGCACGAGCTGACGATTGCGTATAGTTGTACGTTTGCTGTACAGGTTCGAGAATATGTACGAACGGCATGCCAAAGTAAAGCGTAATCACTACGGTAGGACTGCTTTTCAGGCGTTCAATGTTGAACCTGTGATCTATCTCTTTCGTCGAGCACTATTGTAACGGGGTAGCCCATTACATGATATTGCCCCCAAAGGTGTCAACAGGGAGATTGTCTAGCGTGACGATTTCCAGCCAAAATTAGGGCGAGGCTATTCCGTAGTTTGATTTTTGCTATTCCGTACTACAAACGCCGTCAAACGTTTTTACGAACAGCTAATTAGCTTAATAGTTAGATTTTATCTGTATTATGCTACATATAGAAGGTCAGAGGTGCGAAGATTAAAGAGCATTCACTGAGTTCTTAGTATGTCACCCTTTACAACAGCTATAAACGACTAGTATCGTGTAGCTCGCCAGTATCTGAAAGACCGCGAGGAAGACCAAGACGTAGCAGAAGTCAGTCCACATGTTAATGTGTTTGATTTGAAGGTGTCGGCCAGGTTGTGCTTGACCGTCGTGTATTCTACTGAAGGCGGTGCATTCCGCAGGGGTTACCACGCGAGTGTTGACCGCACGTTGGTGTACCCCTTTTTAACCTCATCATACACCGAATCTTCAGGACAGATGATATACACGAGCTAGACAATGATCGAGAGGGAAAAGCGCTGTGAAGTGGCGTCATAGAGCCATTGGTAACGGTCCGGGATGGCAGCAGTAGGCGGGTTGAATTTAGTTAAGAGCAGGAACATGAAGTTAATGAGGACGCCCACAACGGCAACAATTTCGCCACTGGACAGCAAGTAGGCGAGCAGCTGGCCCAAGAGGGTCTGCATGATCACAGAAAGTGAGACATTAAGCCAGTAGAGCACGGCCATGCTGAAGGACCAGATGCCAATGAGAGGGAAAAAGACAATGGCGAAGAGGAGACTGCTGCCAAAGACGTAGGGGATCTCGACGAACGAGATGCCGAGTAAGTACCAGAGAGTGTTGTACGTCTGCGCATCACACTCGCTGTAACGGGGTGAATCGTTACATAACAATTTATAAGAAATTGGTAATAGAATATAACCACAAGACATATATTCTCAGAATATTGTCATAAGGACAAATATTCTGTAGCACTTACGAGTAGTTCCTAATTGGTTGGTATAGGCCATTATATCAACCAACGAAGACGCGCCACGGCAGACGCACGCAATGAGTGGTGAGCAGATAGTTGATTTACACATTTGTATTTAGACATAGTTAGATGAGGATAAATAGTGATTTATTAACAGACATTAACTATGCTAAATACAGTTCTACTTTTTACTTAAACTAAGTACTCGCTTCTTCTTACCGTCTTCCTCTGCACGTACGAGTGTACGTGAAGTTCCGAGGCACCGCCTCATTCTGTTATCAGAATAAGTAGCTTGTACTGTCACCAGTACAAGCTTCAGGGTGCCCCGTTACACTCGCGGTAGTAGACGGTCTCGTTCCCGCAGGGTGAAGGGTATACAAGCAACGTATGTCACGTATGTTTGATGCAGTGTTGTCAAAAAAATGATACCCACGGCTGAGTTCAGCCCTTGGTACGTTGTGTAGCCGGATTTGAGGAGCACATGGCCGGAGGTGATGGCAAGTATAAGCACGAGCCAACACCGAGTCGAGATGGACGATGGCATTCGCCAGTGCATTGACTGGAATTGCTGCATGGTCTATCAAAGTTGCATCCAGGGCAGTAGCAGCTCGCTTGTGCTAAAACAGTAGCTTTGGAAGGCTACCGGGTGCAGGTGCCGTCACCACCGGAACCTGCTAGACGAGTCAGCAACACTAGGTGCTTCAAGATATATTTGGACTTTGGTAATCTCTTAATTGAAGATGTTCGACCCGCTAATAAGGCTCAGCACTAAAACCATTCAATGGAAGCTTTTACTTTCAGCAACTCTGACCTTCTATACATAGCATATTACAGAGAAATTTAATTATCAGCTAACTATCTGTTCTGAAAAACGTTTGACGGCGTTAGCAGTATGGAATAGCAAATTACAAAGTACGGAATATCCTCGCCACCAATATTACCCGATATTCATAAGATTGAAGGAATTATATCCCCTTGTAGGATAGTGTTCATGCGCTGCTCAAACATTGGTTGATATAAGACATATCAACCATAGATTACCACCAATCGCTGCTAGACGCGCGCAATGAGTGGTGAGCAGGTTGTCGTCATACGACGGCGTAGTTTAATGTAGTTAAAAAGATAAAAGTTCTATGGGGAGCTTAACTATATTAAATACAATTCTCTTTTTACCTTACTTGATCGAGTCGTTCAAGTAGTTAGCTTCCTCTGCACGTACTAGTGTACGTGAAGTTTTGCGGCACCCCAAACAAAGGGTGCCTCATTACACCTGGTTGCACTTCGTAGTCCATCCAACGACTACTTAGTGTCCGTTCAACATGAACATGTTGAACGTAGAAGACGACAGCTTTCACGTCACACATGAAGGCTAATCCCACCTGATTGACTCAGAATGGGAGGTAGTCGGCCGCATGAGTGTGCTCATGGGCGAACCCGCCATCAGTGGTATGTTGGAGTCTCTAAGCAGAGACCAGCAACATGCTGCTATCAACAGGTTCCTACAAGGGGAACTTGCCGTCAAAAGACAGAAGATAGCCTTGCTACAGCAGCAAGGCTCTCATCAGTCGATGGGTGGGCCGACGCACATGCGTCGACCCGAAACCTTGAAGATTAATATCTCAAGGTGCAAGGGAACCGATGAAGATTCCCTTATGAGATGGTTCGTCGAGTTAGACGATGCCATCAGGGCCCGTCACATCGAGGGTGACGAGATGCAAGTCATCGTCGCCCTGTCAATTTGACGGGATGAGCAAAGCCTTGGGCCTTAGGGCTCAATCTGCACGACCCAAACGTGTTTGAGTCGTTGGAGATCTTGAAGTCTCGGCTTAAAGAGACTTTTGAGCCGCCGAGAGCCGAGTTCAGAGCACGCGCTGCACTCTTGAGGCTAAATCAAGGTAAGGGTGACGTGCACGCTTACGCACAGCACCTACGCTACCTTGCGGTAGCGTTACGGAGAAACCTGTTGATGAGCACACGCTCATCATCGTGTTCGTCTACGGCCTTGTGGATGGGCCGGTGAAGACCTACATGGTCTCAGAGTATTAACATACGCTGGAAAGGGCGATAGCGTATGCGGAACAAGAAGACTTCAGCCTAAGCCAGTCTCAGGCTAACTCGTCCAACTATCGTCCGACGAGGCGACAGGATACAGGAGGTCCCCAACCAATGGACCTCTGTTACATCGAGAGTGAAAACTATCGCTCTCTGAGTCACAAGCGAACGGCAAGATGCCACCGTTTTCAGATAATTTGGACACTACGCTCATGAGTGTAGTGTCCCGAGCACTGCAACACGTCCGAAAACAGGACGTGATGACCGCCGTTGGCCAAGGAAGGTTCCGAGGCGTGGGTTCGACCATGTCGCCAAGCCGCGACAGCAAGTCGGACCGTCAAAAAACGGTCAGGGTCAGTAGGGTCGGAGCACCCTGATGATCCAGCAACGTCAAGAGAATTTGTAGGACTATTGACGAAGATTTCTTTCAGCACGAAGTCTCCGTGTGTTACTGCCCTTAGTGATGAGGAGTCTCTCATCACTTTGAAAATCGAAGTTACAAGTAGAATGTCAATTCGCGCTCTAGTTGATTGTGGGGCGTCGAACAGTTTTATTCGACGCCAGTCGCTAAGGGATAGTAGTCTTAATTATGTTGAGCGATAGTTTCCTCCAACGAGGATAACAGTGTGCCTTGCTACAGGCGCATCCGTAACATTGAACAAACTTGTAGTGAGAATCCACTACACGCTAGAAGGAAAAAAAGCAATACGATGATGACTTCATCGTACTAGATTTGTATGACAAATATAATGTCATCCTCGGTATGCCATGGCTTAGAAAATACCAGCCATAGGTTAGCTGGCAGCATCGATCCGTGAAGATCCCTGCCGTTTTTTTCGTCGGATGGCCATCTGATGAACGTCTTGGAGCGTCCACAACGTGTGAGTGTGATGGCCTCACTTGTGGTACGGTCGTTAGTACAATTGCACAAGATCACAGTGTAGAAGGCCACTGCACTGTGGAACCAGCTTCCGGCACCTGCGTAGAGACACAGGCTGCGCCATAGGTTCACGACTCGAAGACATCGAGTGGACTGGAACACGGATGCACACCAAGAAGGTTGCATCCAAGAAGAGAGATCAGTGCTGTTCAGGATGAACAACACGTTAAAGCGAGATCGACTATCAGAGAGTCATCGAAGAGGACGTGACTGTGGTAGTACACCCACAGTCAGTAAACATTTGGAAGAAAGTTCCAGCTTTCCTGAGATTGATAACTCCCGAGATGGTTATGTTGAGGGTGTGTTTCCCCAACCACCTGCGGATGTGTGTTTCCCAGGAAATCACCGAGACAGTGAATGTCTTGGTGAATGACGGATCAAGTGTAGGCGCTCGTACACTTGATTTGGTTACACATCCGAAGTCAGCTTCGGAGGTAGTCAAGTTGCCAACGCTAAAATCTAAAAGTTTCTTGCGAGATCTGCGTAGTGAAAAGATCAAGCAGATCTGCGCACTCGTCACAGATGTGAGTACGTCGCCGATATCTGATCGGCACAAGTGCTTGCTGAGAACGAACGGGTTCTCAGTAGCTCATATATGGACGAGAGTGTCCTCGGTGAGAGAATCGGATTGAGCGATACACGTCTCAATCTTAGGTATCTCTAAAGACACATCCTTTGTACAAGAATTAGGTCAAATTTAGGGATGGTTTTCCTGAATCCGTGCCATGCGAGATGCCCAAGGGCAAAGGCACTCGTCATGAGATCGAACTGAAACCTGGTTCGAAGTGCTGTGACATGAAGTAGTGGCCACTGCCTCGTGAACAGGTCACAGCGATCAACAAATTCTTTCCGATCAATTAGCGGCTGGTCATGTGAGGGAATCAACATCCCCACACAGCTCTCCGACCTTCTGTGTGCGAAAGGCCACAGGAGAGTGGCGGATAGTGCACGCGTTCAACAAACTGAACGCTGCAACGGTACCGGCTTAAACTCCGATTCCAAAAAAGGATGTCATTATAGATAGTATGGCAAAAAGTACTATCTTTTCGTCCATGGATTTGATGGATGGATTCTATCAGATCATCATGCGTGAACGAGACATCTCGTACACAGCAGTGAGCACCCTCAGCAGTATGCTCTGGGAGTGGCTAGTGATGCCACAAAGGCTAATTAACGCCCCTGCAACGTTTAACAGATGTGTAACGAATCTGTTGCGATCGGTGCGCGATGTCGCACCGAGTTACTTCGACGATGTCTTCGTCCATAGCCGGGCAATGGATGGAAAGACGGACGTAGAGGTTCATAGAATCCACGGCCAGAAGGTTCTACTGCGAGAGCATAAGTTGTTCGCGAACCTCAAGAAGTGTATATTCGCAGCGAACGAAAAAATCACTTCTTGGCTGCATCGTGGGTAAAAACGGTGTACGCCCTGATCCGGAAAAGGTGAAGGCAATTAGCGACTGGCCTGTGCCAGTCGACGTCAAGGGACTTCGAAAGTTTCTTGGCTTAGCGGCGTACGTGCACAAATACTCGCGCAACTATGCTGAGATGACCGTACATCTCTCTCGTCTGTTAAAGAAAAACGAGAGGTGGTTATGGAGCGCTGAGTGTCAGCACTCTTTTGAAGGGATCAAGAAATGCTTGGTAAAATCGCCTGTGTTGGCAGTTGCAGATCAGGATAGACCATTCCATGTGGTCTGTGACGCCAGCGATTTATCAAGCGGCTGCGCGTTAATGCAATACAGCTCAGACGGCGTTGAGCGCGTCGTCTGTTATCCAATCGCGTCAGCTGCAAGCAGCTGGGCGAAATTATTCATTGCATGACAAGGAACTCCTTGCCATGAAATATGCACCGTCTTGTTTCGGGTATATCTCTTAGGAGATAGGCCCTTCATCGTATATACCGAATATGCGTCGTTACGCACCGCCGTAAACAGTCCACACCTCTCGCATCGAATGGAGAGGTGGCTGTCTTTCTTCGCAGTGTACAACTTCTCCGTCGAGTATAAACCAGGACGAATTAATGTCGTCGCTGATGATCTTTTGCGTCGGCCCGATTTCGAGTCGACTGCTCAACACAACAGTAGGGGTGATCCCACTGTAGCGACACTAACAGTGAGTGTTCCGTCGGCGAATCTGCTCGATGACGTGCGAAAAGCATACAGAGAAGATGAGTATCTTCTGCGATTGGTGGATTACGTATCCAATCCGTGCAGTCAAGCTTTGAAAAGCTTGTCGTCTCAAAACCTCTCTTCAACCGAACGGTATTTGGTATGTGATGGACTGATGTACTATATAGCAGTCAACGGCGACACACCTCGTGTCGTCATCCCGCTCAGGATGATTTGCGATTGCGCATCATGTATGAGTGTCACAATGCCCCGACAAGTGGGCATCGCGGTAGAGAAAAGACTCACCTCATGGTGAGTCGTGACTTCTACTGGCCCCGACAGTCTGAGTTTGTGCGCATATACATTCGCGCTTGCGAAGTTTGTCAACGGGTGAAGACTAGTCCTTCATCCCGCGTACCCTTACAGCCTCTTCCGATTCCGGCAGAGTGTTGGCATTCCGTATCGATGGACTTCGTCTTTGGGTTCCCCAAACACGTTCATATGAATACTGGCATTCTTGTGTTTGTTGGTCGGTTTAGCAAGATGGTAAATTTTGTTGCTGTACCGGAGTCAATCACAGCCCAAGGTTGTGCTCGTGTCTTCATCGATACTATCTTCCGACTTCATGGGTGACACGTTTGAAGATGTCGACTTCTGACCATCCAGAAACAGATGGTCAGACGGAGCGCGTCAACCGCGTCCTCGAAGAGATAATTTAAGGGTATGTCCACTCGTTTACGAGCTGGAGTGAGCTCTTGGCGATGGCGGAATTCGCCATCAACAACTCGGTGCACGCGTCGACAACGCTTACACCGCTCTTCGTGAATAGCCTACGCCATCCACGTTGACCCGTCTTCTTAGAGTGTGACTCTAGTCTAAGAGGGGGGGGGGGCTCGCTCGAACAAAAACCGATCTGGTTCTTGCTCATCAACCGTCGAAAATGGCGTCGACGTGATGGATGCCGATGTCGTTCACATCGACATCGATGATGACGATGACGACGATGCTGGCATATTCAGCATGACCAATGACTGCCTTAGTGAGGACGATGACGCCCTCACTGGTGAAGAAAACGCTCTTTCAGCAGTGCACACGAAGCGCACTGCTGTTGACAAGGATGAACCAGCAGAAGAATTTCTGCTGACTTGCGAAGCGGTTGTCCGCTTCGTTCATGACTCTATTGCAGATGCACTAGACAGAAAGAAACGAAAAGCAGACAACCATGGAAGAGCAAATGTTCTTTCATTCGATGAAGAAGACCTAGTTTTACTGTCTACAGTAAACTTACCGAAGCACGCAGTGCCAAACGTGGGCAGCAGTAAATTATTGCCCAGGTACATCGGTCCATTTCGTGTGTTGCGCCGAATGGGCAACGCATACACGATTGAACTGGCCCGTAAGATGCGCACGCATCCTACGTTTTACGTTGGTCTTCTCCGCCCGTACTATCAGTACGAGCCCGTTTCGAGATGCGAAGAACACCTCCACGGTCGAGAGCCGAGACCACCCTCGAGTGGTCCCGTTTCAACGAGCCAGTCTGGTTGACTAGCGAAGCGACCTGCTCACGCAGTTGAGCAATTTCCTGATGCGCTGCAGTCAGCTTGTCACGAGGAGAGCGAATCGAACGTTTGCTCTCAGTTGCGCGAACGATAACGCGGCACGATCGTTCGTGTGCTTAAAAACATTTTTATCCTACAATTGGTCATCGAGCTCATAACGCCGAGTCCGTTCATGAGCCAGGTCATCAATAACTGTTTCGTTACACGGTTCAGCTCCTGATTATCAAGCTGATCCGACCCTCGAGCCGGATCAGGTGTTCCCGACCCCACCACATCCTTTGGTGGATTCTGGCGGTGGTCAACGCTTTCTGGTGGAGCGTATTTTAAACCACTGCGACGTGGAGGGCGTCTCAACGAGTTACCTCGTCCGCTGGCGTAGCTATCCACCGGCCTGGGACAGCTGGGAGCCTCTAGCCCAGCTGATAGTTGATGTTCTGGGTCTCGTCGAGCATTTTGACGAGACCCACTTATTGCGTTCGAAGAAGGGCCGTCGTAATACGACGTCCCCGAACGCGAGTAAAGGGATTGCAAAGTGTCGATCCCTTTGGCCATCTCGGAAGAGATGCGCGCCTTCCAGTAGGAATCATTAGGGAGGGAGGCCTCCCTAGGGGCACGGTTCGAGTGTCCAAGCAACCTGGACACGAATAACCCCACGAGAGACAGGGTAATCCTGCCTCTATTGACCGTCAATGCAACTTGTAACGCGCCCCGACTTGGTTGCGTTTCTCAAACCTGATGCGAGCTGCATCAAGTTTGGCGAGCCAAATTTCACGGCCAATGCACTCGATGTAATGAAATAGGGTGTACCATCCTTGCACCAAGGCCTTTCCGTCTCGAACACGGCTGCCATTGTACCACCGATGTTTAAAGAACGCATTGGTGAAGAATTCTTCCTCAGCACGTATAGTTTCCGTGCTGGAATTAGGTGGGCAAATCCTCCTACGATCGAACAACGGGATTCGATCCCGTTCGGTAGTCGTCCCGGACAATCGGTCCAACTCCTTGAGTGATGGCATCCAAGGAGGCTCCACTTGAGGAATGTGGCGCAGGACATTTTGTTCCCTGGCCTCTTGCTTGGTGTCAGCATGAGTACTGACACCAGTGGCATCCGATTCCTCGATTTGCTATTCTCGTGGTGATGTACAGGTGCATCACCATTATCTACACGCGTCCCATCGTTGGATGGACTTGCGTGCGACGAGGATTCTTCAGAAGAATCGCTCGGTCCGAAGATCTCGGACATGATGCCGCCACATTCCCCAGAACCACTCAACCTGGCTCTTGCAGTGTCCGCCACGGATGATCCGGAGGCAGAATCTTTCGTCTTGGATGCATCATTGGACTCGCCAGAATTAATGAAGTCTCTTTCAGGCTCATCCTCTTTGCGAGTTCTAGCACCTGCTTGTAACGGGGCACCCTGAAGCTTGTACTGGTGACAGTACAAGCTACTTATTCTGATAACAGAATAAGGCGGTGCCTCGTAACTTCACGTACACTCGTACGTGCAGAGGAAGACGGTAAGAAGAAGCGAGTACTTGGTTAGAGTAAAAAGTAGAACTGTATTTATAATAGTTAATGTCTGCAATAAATCACTATTTATCTTCATCTAACTATGTCTAAATACAAATGTGTAAATCATTTATCTGCTCACCACTCATTGCGTGCGTCTGTCGTGGCGCGTCTTCGTTGGTTGATATAATGGCCTATATCAACCAATTAGGAACTACTTGGAAGTGCTACAGAATATTGTCCTTATGACAATATTCTGAGAATATAACTCTTATAGTTATATTCTATTAACAATTTCTTATAAATTGTTATGTAACGATTCACCCCGTTACATCACCCCCCCTAACCATCAGTCACTTTAGTGACTGATTGACTAAATGGATACTCGTCCCAAATCATTTGGGACGGGGTTTGCACTTGTTGGTCCGCGTCCACTTTCCAACATCTCATCGCATGGTAAACAAGCCCATGCGATGCGCGAGCAAGGCCGCCGAGAGCGCGTCTGCACGTCTCTGTGCGGACGCCGAAGCAGAGACAACAGCAACTGATGTCCCATCGGTTGCTGAAGAGACCCAGCCTGTGTCACTTGGTGACGCAGGCGCTGGTCATGAACACACTCGTGTCTTCACAGAGTACGAGCTCGGTGTCTCGTACTCTCCTGATACGGATGACGGATCCGTATCGACGGCAATTGAATCCAAGCCGCCTGCCAAGCGTGGCATGGACGATGCTTTGCGTCGCAGCATCTTTGGTTCATCTGATGAGTCAGATGAACCATCGCCGAAGCGAAGGCGCTCGAGGTCGCGAGACTCGGGCGCTAATAGTGGTGTCGTTTCTCCAATGGACACCACTTCACAGCGAGGTGCCAGTACTTCTGTCGGCACGTCGCAGGAAGAGCGGGACCGCAATGTGTTGCGTCTCGCTCCAGAAAAGAAGGCATGGATGCCTCCTAAATCTGTCATGGATCACTTGTCGGCGACGACGAGTGATCGTTATCGAACACGATTGTTCGATTCGTCGAGGATTCATCACCTTGACCCCAGCGCGAAAGACTATCGCGCTGAACATGAGTTCTTCATCGATGCTTTCTTCAGACATCGATGGTACAGTGGGAATCACAAACGTGATGGTCCCTCACTACTTCAGGCGTGGAACGCCTACATCCATAATCTCGAGGATGTAGGTCGTGACGCTTGGAACGACAAACTTATCAAAGCTCGTGATAAGTTTGAAAAGCGAACCCCGACAGGTGCACGCTATAAGCTGCATCGTCTGTCAAGGGAGAAAGGATTACCCTGCCTCTCTTGGGGAGACTCGTGCCCATGTTGTGTGAACAACTCTGCACGAGCACCTAAGGAGGCTTACCTCCTTACCAGCCCGTGGTGGCGCGTACGTGTCTCTACTGAGATGTACGAAGGGATTGACAACCTGAAATCCCTTTACGACCGTGCCGGGAAGACTTTCTCCGGCGGTCCTTCTGCGGCACAGGATGTGTCGCGTCGTACTGCTCGACCAGACCCAGTACGTCAACCATCAATTGGGAGCGGGGCTCCCAAGAATCCCAGGACGGGGGATAGCCGCGCCACCGGACGAGGTAACTCGTCCGACGTCCGTTCACGTCGCGGTGGTTCAACAGCTGCTCTACTAGATAGCGCTGGCCGCCGCGAGAGTCCTCTAATGGAGGTGGAGGAGGAGGAAAGACGCTCTCCACACGATCATGTGGATCGGTGTGTTCCCGAGAGCTTCTTTGATCGCGTAACGCAAGGGTTACGCGACGATCTCGAGCATGAGCGGAATAGGCGTCTCCAGATGGTGGACACTGCCTTGAAGCATCGAGCTGAGTTTGCCTTTGCTCAGCTTGAGAACGAGAGATCTCTGACATCTCTTCGTGACGAGCTAAGGGTAGCTCGTGGGATTGTTGATCGGTCTCGGGCTGAGATAACTGCTCTTCAGACCCTTGTTGATGCCCACCATCGGGAGCACAAGGCTCTCTGCGAGATGCTTGAGCGCAAGGGCGTTCTTCATCGGAAGAAGCAGCGTACTGATGGTACGGCTTAAGCCGACCAACGTAAAACGTGGGATGCGTTCGCATCTTACGTGGTAACTCGATCGTGTATGCATTGCCTAGGCGGTGCAATACACGAAATGGGCCAATGTACTTGGGTAGTAGTTTACTGCTACCCAAGTTAGTCACTACATGCTTTGGTAGATTAACCGTAGACAGTAGGACTAAGTCACCTTTATTAAATAAAAGAGTGTTTGCCCTTCCATTCTTGTCAGCGTTTTGCTTTTGCTTATCCACCGCTTCGGCGATGGAGTCTTGCACAAAACGGACTACCGTTTCACGAGCCAGTATGAACTCATCTGATGACTCGTTAGCTTCAGTGTGCTGTGAGCGCACTGCAGCGACAACCTTTTCTTCAGTGAGGGCTTCCGCACTCTCACTGGGATCATTGTCTTCAGTGAGGGCTTCCGCACTCTCACTGGCATCATCTTCTTCGATATCGATGTTATCGATATCGGCATCAAACGCAATGACTTCTTCGTCAGAGCGTGATGAGCGTGAACCAAATCGGTTTTTGCTCGCGCGAGTCCCTCCCCCCCTTAAACCAGAGTTACACTCTAGTAAGGTGGGTACACGCGGATGGCGCAAGCCATTCACGTAAAACGGTGTATGTGTCGTGGACGCATGCACCGAGTTGTTGATGGCAAACTCTACCATCGGCAAAAACTCACTCCAACTCTTAAAGGAGTGTACGTATCCTCGAAGTATCTCTTCAAGGACACGATTGGCACGTTCCGTCTGACCATCTGACTCTGAATGATCAGATGTTGACATCTTCAAGCGCGTTCCGAGTGATTTGAACACGGAACGCCAGAAATCAGCAGTGAATCGTGGATCTCTGTCTGATACGAGTTCACGGGGCAACCCATGAAGTCGGAAGATGGTGTCAATAAAGACACAAGCACAGCCACTTGCCGTGATTATCTCTGGTACAGCCACAAGGTGTACCATTTTGCTGAATCTGTCAACAAATACGAGAATACCCGTATTCCCGCGTGCGTCTTTGGGTAACCCGAAGACGAAATCCATTGAGATGGATTCCCAGCACTCAGCCGGAACCGGTAGAGGCTGTAAAGGTGCACGCAGTGAAGGACTTGACTTCACTCGTTGGCAGACTTCGCATGCGCGAACATACTTTCGCACAAACTGATACTGGCGGGGCCAGTAAAAGTCTCGACTTACCGTGAGATATGTTTTCTCTCGGCCACGATGTCCTCCTATAGGAGCATCGTGATACTCGAACATGATCCGCAAACGCAGATCAGTATCATCTGGAATGACAACACGTGGTGTGTCACCAGAAACGGCTGTATAGTACAGTAAACCGTTACGAGTAGTGTATCGATCTGATGCAGATCGATACGCAGACGACAATCGTTTCAACGATTCTCGAGATGGTTGGGAGAGATGTG